TTAATCATAAACGTAAATGGTGATTTAAGCCATAAATATCAACAAATAATCTTTAAATTCATTAATTTTTTTCTTTTTTATTGAAGAAAAAAATGTGATAAATAAGAATGACTTACCGCGGACATTCTGAATGGTATATTTGGGAACTCGTACAATAACCGTTTGGCATCCATCGATTGCAAGAATTAGGATCAAGCATAAAGTGGGAAACACCGTACGATACGAACAACCCATTCCTATTTGTATATTAAATACAAATAACAAAATTTCATCGACCGCTTTATTTTTATATTAATTTTCATCAAATGATAAATAAGTTTATAATATTCAGCGTAATGAATATTAGTGTAATTGTTTAATCAATTAGAGAATATTAAAATTTTTCAAATACAAATTCATCATAATTTTTTCAGCTTTAAATGATAAATGATAAATATATGCGATATTACCACTTTTATCAAATGTTCATAGTTTAAATGAGATTGTTCATTTAAACGATTTGTTAAATCAGATCTTTGCTGGATCTTAATTGAATAACTGCTTATCATATATAGAATAAAAACTATTATTGATAAAAATTTTCGATATAATTAAATTTTTTTTCAGTTTTTCAGTTTTTCCTCTTTCCAATTCTTAAGCTAATAAATCGAAATTTTTTTATTTTAAGAAAGCTAATTGAACGGAATCTTTTTCCATGCATTTCAACGGTTATTTTTGAATAATAATCTGTTTTATAAAATCCAAAGCATACCAAACTTCCTGTTCCTTTTCCTCTTCGCAATGCAATTATATGCAAAATCTCAGCTTTTTGGCTTTTACATTTATTTCTTCTACTGGCTTTATTGCCTTTATTGGCTCTATTGGCCATAACTACTGGAATGATTATTCGAGTATTTTTTGTGAAAATTGTTTGCTCCTTATTTTACCCTTTCTTTTTGAAAATGTTACTTAAAATAGTTTTAATGATATCAAAAAAACATCTTAAACAATGGAATATATTATTGTAATTTAGAAAAATTAAGGAAAACTCTGTGTGTGTAAGTATGCAATGCTTTAGCATCGGCAATATTGATTGTTCATTTTATTACAATTTGCTAAATATAGCTTATCTTTTGTGAATTGATGCGATATTATCACTTCAGAAAGATTTGATAATGATATGCGATGATTACTTTGATTAGTGTATTGCAATCTTATAAAGTCAAAGTGTTTAATTCTCGTTTAGATTGAAACAAAAAGTTGCATAATTACAAATTGAATATACTTTAGTTAACAAAGAAAAAATTAAGCAAATTATAGTTATCTAATTATTTGTCATGCTTACTTACTTTCATAACTGCAACAAATAACTGGAAGAAACAATGATAGAACAAACCGAATCAACAACATCTCAACATGGCAGCTCAATTTTTAGTATCAGTTAGTTTTTTTTTAATTTTCTTTTTACAGAATTTTAATTCTATGAAACCTCCTACTTAATACATTCTATGATTATAAAGAGGAAAAATGTTACGAAATGAAAAAAAAAAGAATGTAATGATTAAAATTTAGTTAATTAATGCAGTAACGTGATAAATAAGCTGTCACATAAGTTTTTTTTTTTTTTTTTTTTAAAAAAAACTTTTTTAAAAAAGATTCTCACAATAAAATGAAACGTTTGCTTAATTTTTTAGTAATGAATTTACGATAACAATGTAATTTTGACTATTTTGAATACATACATTGTTATCATACTAATTTTTTTTTCACTTTACTTTATAAAGCGATATTTACTAACATATTGTTATTGTATGTTTTCTTATTCATTACAAACCATAATTATGTGAGTTATAAATTTCCTGATAATTTTCTCATTACAATTTCTATTTCATTATCATTAAAATGCATCCATTATTTACTACTAAAATTATTTTTATCTTGCGCAAATGTGACAGCAACAATTCTAACTTTTCAAATACTAATCTCATTGCAATTATTTTAAACCAATAAGATTTTCATCCAAGTGAAATTTTAAAATTCTCAAAGCAATTTCTCAAAATTTTGGTCAAAATGAGGGTATACCACATACAATGAATAGTTCTGTATGCTTATATTTCATTCTAGCAATAAGCAATATTATTATAAAAGAAAATTTATACATATTTAGAAAATTATCAAATTTTCAGGTGAAAGTCATAAACGAATGGAAAATGAAAGAATACGCGGTTGGAAAGCTGTACAGAAAGCGCTTCCACGTATTATACATTATGGTCAAAATGAGGGTATATTACATACAACGAATAGTTCTGTATGCTTATATTTCATTCTAATAAAAAAAAAAAAATTAAGCATATTTCTTTTAATTAGAAATTTTGAAAATTTGTAAATATCATGGAAAACATAATGTGTAACTTATTTTATTATACATACAAAATATTACAAAAATGAGGTTTCTTTTCATTTTCAGGTTTATTACTTTTAAATAGTATGAAGCGATTGCAGCTAATAGGTTCATCGTATTTGTCTAATGTTGTGATACAAGCAAAAGTAGCAACTGAAATTTCTGATCGTCGTTTAACAGATAAAGTACAAATACCCACTAATGATATAACAATTATGCATGAGGCTATACCATTTCTACCGGTTCCGGTTGCTTTACTATGCCTCTTCTTTAATATTATCATACCTGGATCAGGTAAATTTGAATGGAAATATTAAACATTAAATAGCTTTCCTTTGGAATATATATGTATGTATTCGCTTCGACTAAATATTTATTCAGGAACAATTTTAAGCGGAATTAGTGTATTGTGTATGGGACAGCCAAGAATAAATTTCAAAGAAGGCCGTAAATTGATGACATTATTTGTGAATTTTTTGGTGGGTATTAGTCAGTTCTTCACGATAACATTTCTTTTTGTTGGATGGTTCTGGTCAATTGCATGGGGTGGCTTAATCATTATACATTCAAGTAAG